AGAGAGAGAGAGACAGACAGACAGACAGACAGACAGACAGACCGACCGACAGAGAGCTTCTCACAGTATATTTTGAACACTCAGGAAAAGCCTGTTCATTTCCCAATCCCTGGTGCCTATAATGACACTGCTCATATGCTCATATTAGATGTGTTTAATCATGCTCATGAAAGAAAATACTATAATAATAAGGGTTGTGGGAGGGAAAGTGCCCTAGAGATACGCTTCAGTTATAGACAGATTGCCGTCAGTAGCTTTTGTGTGCTGTGTAGGTTGAATAAGGCAAAAGTTGACCCAGGTTCTCATAACCTCTCCTTCCACCTCTCAATAATCCAAGAGCCATGTTGCATGAAATACACAAAGTATTTGGTTCCCCTCCAGATCTATACTTAGTATGAAGTGTTGATGATAAGAGGTGCACGGGACACTCACTGGTCACAAAACCAACAGGGAGGAGCTGGATTGTATCTGAAGGGCCAGCCAACAAGCCCTGGAGAGCAAGGGATGGGAGAGTCAGCTATATGGAGATGGGAAGAGTGTGCAGGCAGAGAAGGAGGGATGGGAGGTGTTCCGGGTTTTGTGACTTTAAAGTTTGGAGTGTACATCTGGGAGGGGCTTTTCCTGATTTTCTCCTCCTTGTGGTTCTGTACAAACAGCAGAGTCAAAGACAGCAACAGGCTTGATGAGGCGTCTGTTTATTTGGTAACTGATTTGAAGAGACATTTTTTAATTAACAATTCTTCTCTCAGCATATGCTACTCTTGGTGTCTCAAAACAAGTCATTGTTTCTTAATTAAAATGATATTTTCACAAGTGCCAGGCTGATGGCACAAAGACATCATTCATGGCACTGTTTGTTAAGTCTGGAACAACAAATAAGAAAGTCAAGGGTGAGAAGTAGGAATGTACTATATAGGGACACCTAGTTGAACTTGAGAGGGCAGCCTGCCTACAGTAGGTGCGGAAAGGCTTCTAACTCCTCCCATGCTCCCTTCTCTCTCCCTCAGCCACACAGAGTCATGGGCAGGTCTGTTCTCTGCTTTTCATTCCTCTACTAATGTCATTCGGGAAAGCAAGAAGCATGTGTCAATCACTGTGTTTAGCTATGCAATGAAAATATAGAGAGGCAATTATTTCTTGTAGCCAGTAATGTATGCTTTGTAAGAATAAGGAAGAAGAATTAAAGGCCCCAGTTCTTTGTATAACATTATAAAGGGTATGTTGTACTTTTGATCTTTTCTCCGGAAACTTTAGATATAGGTGAGAAATGAGAATGAAGAATTTTAGAGATAGACCTTCTGCAGAATAGACGAGCACAGGACTGGCCAGCACCTAACACCTCAGTGCTAGCATTTTACCACCCTGCATAGTAGGTTTGGATAAGCCACCTCAGCCTTATTAATAGGAAAGAGTATGTGAGTGCCTGCCTTCCTGTCTATTTCTGGAATGTAGTAATTACCAATGATACTGATTATAAAATGAATGTTGCACCCCACCTTATAATCATGGGTACATTTTAGTGAGTGCCTATTTGTGAAGGATGATGAAT